GCGGAGCTGGAGACTAGCCTAATACAAATAACAGCATTAAAATAAAATCATGTAAAAGCTCAAGGGAACACACCTGAGTAATGGAGATGATAATAAGCTTGGACAACTACCCCAGCCCTCTCTTCTTACTCCCTCAAGGCAGATGAAATTTCACAACTGATTTGGGATCCCTTCTAACAGTAAACAGGAGGGAAACTGTTGCTTAAGTGGTTTAAGAAAAAAATTGTAATAATATACCAGATTGCTATCACTCCACTGATATTCAGTCCCTGCATCTCTGAACTAATTTCCACTTTCTCAGTTAGGACAGGGGGGAGCTATGGGTGTTGAACAGAAGAAAGAGCTAAAGCTATGAGACATAAACCAGCACAGAGATGGCATTTTTCTTTCATTCATTCATTCATTCATTCATTCATTCATCAAACATCTGAAAGCTGACTGTCCCAGGCTCAGAGCTGGCTACAGAAAATGGTGAGAGGAAGGAGGTAGGGGAAACTGTCCTTGTCTCCTAGTATATGAGGAGAAGTAGACTTCTTCTCAGCTTGGATTGAAGCACAGAACATAGGGAGGAAGTGGTCATCTCCTCTCTTCTTCAAGGGGCTGGGAATTAGAGCACTAATTTATCATTTAAAAAAGAAAGAAAGAAGGGAAGGAGAGAAGAGGGAGGATGGACAACTAGATTGGTCCTAGATATCTGATTCTTTTGTCATAGGGTGTGGCTCGAGGAGTGCAGAAGATAAAAAAATTATGAAGAAAGCCCTGGCTGGTGTGGCTCAGAGGACTGAGTACCAGCCTGAGAACCAAAGGGTCACTGGTTTGATTTCCAGTTGGGGCACATGCCTGGGTTGCAGGTCAGGTCCCCCCCGGTGCAGGGCATGTGAGAGGCAACCATACTGATGTTTCACTTCCTCTCTTCCTCTCTCCCTTCCCCTCTCTCTAAAAATAAATAAATAAAATCTTTTTAAAAAATTATGGAGAAAAACCAAGAAAAGTGTGTCTAAACCTAAAATGTAACATTTGATAGAAGCCGCTCCCATAACATAGAACTCCTCCCTGCTTACCTTCCCAAGAGATGGTGAGAACAGGGAATAGGGCAGCCCAAGGTCTTGAGTTATGTGGAGGGGAAGGATTAAGGGTCAAGGTCACAGTTCTCACTGGAGTAGCAGCAGCACTCCACTGTGGGGTACATCACTAGAAAGCAGCAGGGGCTGCTTTATCTTATTACCACAAAAATTCTATGGTTTTTTATTATTGGACATGGTGGCCATATTTCCATCTCCTCTGGGGCCTGGATGTTCGGTGAAAGTCATCTCTCAAATCTTCTCTCAGTGTGAAACGGATTGCTGCATTTCCAGGGCTTAATTGTCCTCACCAGCTAAAAGCACTCTGCCAGTAATGAAAATACATCCACTCTTTTTATCAAGAAAAAAGGATAATAACTCAGGCAGCTTTCACTTACCTTTCATTGAACATCAGCCCAGCTTGTTTCTAAGGACATCCCTGATGCAAAGCACAGAAAGTTGCTGGGGGCCTGGGAGACACTGAGCAAAAGTCTGGGGGCACAAAGGGCAAAAGGATGCCCTCCTTACCCCCTCAGAGTATAAGGCTTTCCAAAATGACACTGTCCCCTCCCAAGAAGTTAGGGGATGTGACTACTTGAAATTTAAAATGAAAGCAATAGCAAGAATAATAACTATGGCATTTTACAGTTTTCAAAGGCCATGCAGATACTTGCTCATTTGATTCTTACAACCACCCTGAAGGACTAGCAGAACAGGTGTGTCATTTCCATAGATACTGAAACTAAAACTTAAAGAAGGGAAGTGACTTACCCAGTAACATCAGTCAGTGCTGGAGCCAGTGTCTGGCATCCGAGCTGGGCAGTCATTCTACAACTCCACGCCCAGACATGGGGTGGCTCCTGTGGAGTCCTGGAGGGAGTAGCTGGTGCAAAATGGGGTAAAGCCTATAGAGACTTACATGGGCCTGAAAGATTACATTTGAAGAACCCGAAACAAACTGTGCATCCCCTCAATTCCATCTCCATAAGCTCCTCCTATACCAGTGCTCCAGCCACACTGGCCTCCTATGGCTAATATTCTCAAGTACCAACTTACAGCCAGCTGTGCCCACTTCTTCCTTGCTCGCAGAGGCCTACTTTTACACTCAGAAGCCTGGTTTTTGTCAGAAGTTGGGAGCACTGGTTCTTTAACAAAGTTCAGTAGAAGCTAAGCCACTTACCTGTCCAAATTCTAAACCCAGTCTGAGTCATTCATTCCTCTTGCTAAAGACCTGTTTAGGAATGAGTATGTGACAAAATTTTGTGAGATGTGAGATACAAAGAGAAATCTGTGTAGAGTCAAGGGAAGGGCTTCCTTTTTCTGAAAAGGGAAGGATTTGCCTTCTTCCTTTCTGCATCTGGACACCAAGAATGAGGAAGTTGTATGAGGTTGAAGCTTTAACATCCGTCTTGTCATCTTGAAGGAAGTCACCCCAAGAGGGTGGCTGAGCAGAAAGGAGGGAATAGTCTGGCCATAGATGATGTTGATTTGCTCAATTAACCAACCTTAAAACCCTACCCTTTCTGCCCCCAGGCTTCTTTATGTGAAGTAATGGCTCCATTTTGAATTGGGGTAACTTTCCTTTCTTTGCACTGAAAGTATTCTGAATGATACATCTTCTTCCTGTTCCTCAAACCCTCCAAGCTTGTTCTCTTTTCAGGGCTGTTCCAACCATCTGGGACACTTTCCCACCAGATGTTCACATGGTTGTCTCCTTATCATTCGGGCCTCAGCTCAAACGTCACTTTTCTGGAGAGACGTTCCACAAACTACCCATTCTAAACAAGCTTTCTAGTCGCTATGTTTTCATTTCAGCACCTATTAGCATCAGAAATCATGTTTTTATTTGTTTACTTGTTTATTGTCTATTTTCCTCAGTTGAGTATAAGTTTCATATGAGTAAGAACTGTGCCTGGCTTGCTCACTTCTGTATTGCTAGCACCTGGCACAGAGCCTACGACATAGTAGGTGCTCAATAAACATTCAATGGGTGAATAAATGAATCCCAAAAACAATCTCATCATGCTGTTCCGCAGTCTCCCTCTCCCACATGCCCATTGGGGTGATATGTCTGTACTTGGCCTTTCATCAACTCCTTTTACAAAAATCTAAACCGTAGGACCAGTAAGAAATAAAGGCAGCAGAGAAGAAAAATTTCATAAAATCAAAATTATTTTAGGCTTAAATATAAAAGGAGAGAAGCTGATTGCATAATATATGTAGATCTATGCAAATTACCATGCAAATTAAATAGGGGAGAAGTCTGAAGTAGTAAGAAGTACAGAGTCCCTTGCTGAGTGTGTTTTCCTTCTCACCAGGAAGTGGTATCAATTTCTTAGGCTCAGAAAGTGGGGACACTGACATACAGTGAGAAAAAAATCAATTGAGAATTACACAAGTGAAAAAGAATTTAGTTATTTTTTTTCTAAGAAATAGAAATCAAAAACATTCCACTTATCAACTTTAAATAGTAGGAACACGAAGCATAAAACTATTCAGTTTTATATGATGGCCAGCTAAGATTATAGAAGAAGAGGGAGAAAGGAAACAGACAAAAGAAGAGAAAAGGAGAGACTGAAAAAAACCCTCAAATTAATCATATCCCTCAGAAGCAAGAACCTACTGATGTGATGATAATTCTTTATATTCACAGAAAACAAACAAACACAAAACAAAACAAAAAAAATCTTACACAAACAACTCTCTGGGTTTAAAATATATTTATATATACATTTTCAGAGTTTTATTAAAACTGTTTAAATTCCTACCTAAAATTTGAGAAAGAGGGTACTCATTCATTTTTTCAACAACTATTTTGGGGGTACACATGTCCTGGTCCTTGAAGTAGGTGCTGGGGGATACCTGAGAATAGGATGTGGGCACAGTAACTGCCTTCCTGGGGCTTGCCTTTTACCTGGTTCTCTGTTCTAATTTTCAAAGGAGGAAACACCCTGTACCTACCTTCTCTAGAAAAGAAAAATTATCCACCTCATTTTACAAAGGGAAAGTCCCACTTTTTGGAGCACTGCTTTGTGGGTGGTCCATGTGCTGCTATTAAGGACATGAGGGCCCTGTCACAATTCCCCACAGCTAAATGCCCAAGGAATTGCCTTTTGGCAAAGACCTCAAGGGGATGCCAACCTTATATGCTGCATTCCCTGGGATATCAATGATTTCAAACATTTTGAGCCAATGTCTCCCCTCAGCTCTGAGCTATCACTCTGGCCACCACATTACCTCACTTCAGTCACTGCAATAGTTTCCTGACTGGTCTTGCTGCCAGCCTTGCCTTCCTTCTGTCTGTGCTCCACACAGCAGCCACAGCCATCCTGTTCAAACCTAAAACAGGACGGCAACTTTGCAATGGCCTCCTGTTTACTCAGAGAGTCCCTACAAAGGCCTACAGGCCAGAGTCCTGTTCCTGCAACCTCCCCACCATCCTGTCACTCAGCTCCAGCCACATACCACCCACAGAGTCACACATTAGTCTTTGCACCCGGCAACCCTCTCCCCAGAGTACTGTCTCCCACAGCCCCCAAATTCACACGGCTCACTCCCTCACCTTTCATGCCTAGACTCAATCCTCACCTTCTGATGGAGGCCTTCTCAACTACCCCCATTTAAAATCACAAATCCCTGTGCCTTACACACTCCCTGTCCTCTTTTCTGGCTTAATTTTTCTCCATAGTGCTTATCACTCCAATTTATTGTGTATTTCAATCATTTGTCTTGTTTATTATCTGTCTCTCCCCCATAGAAAAAAAGCTCCCTGAGAGGTAGGATTTTTGTCTGTTTTATTCATTGCTGTATTCTCAGTGCCTTGAAGAGTGACTGACAAATTACGTACTTGAAAAATATTTGTTGATAGTCCTTTAATTTAAATTGACTTAGTTTCATGGGAAATGTGACTACATTCTTCTCATTTTTGTCATTTTACAGAGGACTTCATCAACGGTTCAGCCTAATCGTCACACTCATGATTGGGAAGCTCTGGCCCAGAAGCTGTTAAGTCCCTGGAGACAAACCTTGGCCCCGAACCCCGACATCAGTCCCAGAAGGGGTAGGCCCTCTTTGACACTCAGTTCTCATAGGCTAGGTACCTGAACAGCAAATGTCAGAGCCTCCGCTTAAACGCAGGCAGATTTAGTTTGCAGACAGTGAGGAAGCATTTTAATTTGTTGATGTGAAACCTTAATTGAACTAAACTGCTAGAGGTAGTCTCTGTTCTCTGTCATAGTCTTAATTTAGTTGGCAAAACAAGATATCATCAGAGGAAAATCACAGGCAAAGATGCTGTGCCCAGAGGGTTTGGGAAACACCCTCTGCATTTGGAGGTGCGTTTGTATGTGATTGGCATAAGCAGGAACCCCATCCACACAACTCAGGACGCCCACCTGGCTTTCCAGGGATACTCAGGAGGCATCACATGGGCTCAGGCACATAGGTCTTCCCAAAGCAGCCAGGCTAACACTGCTTCCCTCCTGTATTCCATGTTCTATTTTTAGTGTTAGAGCAGAGAAGAGGGACAGAATTTCTCACCTAAAGGTATTAAAGTGTGAGAGGTGCCAGCTCTATTACTCATTTGCTATGGGACCTTTAACAGGCCACTTCCCCTACCTGGGCTGTGGTTTCTCCATTTGCGCAACAAACATGTTGGAATCCATGCCCATAAAGGCCTTAGTAGCTAAGATGCTATGTATGAATCTCTCAGACCCTCAGGCCTGTGTCAGCACCCAGGATGAAACTCCTGAGTGTTGTCCACCAAGTCCCTGCTGAGTTCCTAGCCATGGCATATGCACACACCAATGGCCTTACTGTCACTGCCAGGAGGTTAAGCCACAGGCCTTTCACTAATGGATCCATATCCCTGACACATAGAATTTCAGGCTACGATTCTGGTTAGGCCCCCAGGAGGGGGTCTTAGAAATCATAGTCTTGGTGACAGATGCCCACTCCATTCTTTTCCCAGACCTCTGCCCCCAGTGGCCTTCTACATATGCTACTTGCCCCACCCAGGCAGCTTCTAGCTATTAAGCCTGTCCATATCTGGAGAAGCTCCTGCTGGGCCCTTGCTCCAAGCTCACCTTCAGCTGTAGCTACCCAAACAGACTGAGGCAAATAACCTGAGGCAGTTGGCAAGAACCAGCCCCATGGACAGTTCAGCTCAGACTCCTGAATTATATTATTCCACAGACAGTCTCTGCAAGGGAGTTTCCTGGGAAGTGACTCAGGCCTTGGTGATGAAGCACAGCTGTAGAAGGGCTAGGGACAGCTTCCCTGAGGGTCAGATTCCCGAGCTGGCAAGTCCTCACTCTAGTGACTCATTGGCTAGATTGCAGGTCTTAGTACCTGCATTTAGTCACAGGTTCTTCTCACACTAGGAATCAGGTGCCAGCAGAGGCAATGACATGTACAAGGAAGATCACAGCTTTGCAGTAGAAACTACCTGGCAAGTCCTTTCTGACATCAGAGTCTGTTTCTTCATCTGATAGGTGGGGATAATAATACCTACCTCAAAGCACTGTTTGGAGAACTAGATGCTATAATGCTTCTACAGTGCCTAGAACCGTGCATGGTCCAGAGACTGTACTCCCCATATGGCGGTAGTTGATGTGTTATCACAGCGTTTGGCATCTGAAAGGTGCTCAGTAAATGCAATTGTGATCATCACCCACCAGAAGACACGCAGAGCTGCAGAGCTCCTTTCAACTCTGTGGAGATGGCAGTAGATTGCAGATCACACAGACACATCCCTGAGGCTCCTCTCTTCCTAAATTCTTCTGTCTTGTTCTGCTTCCCTAAAAATTCTAATAGCTGGTTGGTGGCATCATGGCATTTGGGAGATAAACTGTGAGTCTGCTTCCCTCTGCCCTTGGTGGAAGCTGAAGATGGATTTTTCCCATCCTAGGATAGAAAGATTGAGGATGTTTATCTAAAGCCAGCAGGGCTTCTTGCTCAGGAAGGGCCTGGACTTACGAGCAGCCTTCCTTGGGGAGGGGAGGGGCCTTCCTTTGTAAAGACTGGGCTCAGCTTTTGACTAGGTAAGACTCTACTCAGATCATCAGAAACCTCCCTCAGATTCTCAAGCAAAAATTGTATGTGTTGACTAACAAACTTGGAGAGGATTTGAATCAAAGGGTCCAAGAAAGCCCAGAACCAAAGCCACAGGGACTGGAACCAGGAACTCAACATGCAGTGATATGCTCTCCCATGAGAAAATAAAACTTGGTGGTGTAGTAGAGATTGGACCCACTTTACGTTGGGAGGCCAGAAAAGGTCAGTTCAGGGCAGATCTCTGGATGGGCAGCTCCAGACAGAGGTAAAATAATCACCAGTCCAAAGGTCCCAAGTCAGGAATGAGCTTGTTCAAGAAACAGAAGGAAGCCAGTATGGGTGGAGGGCATGAGCCAGCGAGAGCAGAGATATAACAGCCAGGAAGGAGGCAGAAGCCAAATCATAAAGGATATTGTAGGCCAAGCTATGGCATTTTTATTGTATTCAGAGGATTATGGGAAGACTTTGGAGGATTTTAGACAACAGAGGGAGGTGATCTAACGTAAGTTTTTGTTTGTTTGTTTGTTTGTTTGTTTTAAATACCCTGGTTACTATACGTAAAACAGACCAGAGATCAGGGCAGAAAGAGGATTTGAGGGAAAGTCTAAGGCAGGACCAGGTTTGGGCCCAAGTGGGGATAAGAGTTCTATTCTGGTCATTTTAAATTTGAGATGCTAGTTAGACGTATTAGTACCCTAGGGCTGCTATAAGAAAAACCATAGCCCTGGTTCAGTTGGTTGAGCATTGTCCCACGCATCAAGATGTTGAGCATTTGATCACCAGTCAGGGCACATGTGAGAGGCAACCAACCTCAATGTTTCTCTCTCACATCAATGTTTCTGTTTCTCTCTCTCTCCCTCCCTTCTTTTCTCTCTAAAAATCAATAAACATATTCTTGGGTGAGGAATAAAAAATAATAATAAAAAATAATGATTGCACTGCATGGTATCTGCGTTCAGCACTTTATTCCTGCTGTGTGTTCAAAGAACAGTGCAATATAAATCAGTAACTGGCATCATTGGTTTCCTTGGCTTTGTGCATGTTAAACCTGGTATTTTTATTTTGTTTTTTAAAATATATTTTATTGATTATGCTATTACAGTTGTCCCATTTTTTTTCTCCCCCTTATTCCCCTCCACCCTGTACCCCCACTCCTACCATCATTCCACCCCCTTATTTCATGTCCATGGGTTGTACATATAAGTTCTTTGGCTTCTCCATTTCCCATACTATTCTTGACCTCCCTCTGTCTATTTTACACCTACCATTTATGCTTCTTACTCCCTGTACCTTTTCCTCCATTTTCCCCTTTCCCCTCCTCACTGATAACCCTCCATGTGATCTCCGTTTCTGTGATTCTGTTCCTGTTCTCGTTTGCATAGTTTGTTTTGTTTTGTTTTAGGTTCAGTTGCTGATAGTTGTGAGTCCCAAACCAGATAGTTGTCATTTTACTGTTCGTATTTTTCATCATCTTCTTTCTCTTAGATAAGTCTAACATTCCTTTAATATTTCATATAATAAGGGCTTGGTGATGATGAACTCCTTTAGCTTGACCTTATCTGAGAAGCACTTTATCTGCCCTTCCATTATAAATGATAGCTTTGCTGGATAGAGTAATCTTGGATATAGGTCCTTGCCTTTCATGACTTTGAATATTTCTTTCCAGCCCCTTCTTGCCTGCAAGGTTTCTTTTAAGAAATCAGCTGACAGTCTTATGGGAACTCCTTTGTAGGTAACTCTCTCCTTATCTCTTGCTGCTTTCAAGATTCTCACCTTGTCTTTAACCTTGGGTAATGTAATTATGATGTGCCTTGATGTGTTCCTCCTTGGGTCCAACTTCTTTGGGCTTCCTGGACTTCCTGGAAGTCTATTTCATTTGCCAGATTGGGGAAGATCTCCTTCATTATTTTTTCAAATAAGTTTTCAATTTCTTGCTTTTCCACTTCTCGCACCCCTATGATTTGGGACATTTAATGTTGGAACATTTAAAGTTGTCCCAGAGGTTCTTAAGTCTCTCCTCATTTTTTTGAATTCTTGTTTCTTCATTCTATTCTCGTTGAATGTTTATTCTTCTTTCCACTCCAGATCATTGATTTGAGTCCTGATTTCCTTCAGGACTCAAGGTTTCCTTCAGGAACCCTTTACTGTTGGTTTCCTGTATATTTTGCTTTATTTCACTTTGCATAGCCTTCACTTTTTCCTCTATTTTGCGACCATGCTCAACCATTTCTGTGAACATCCTTAATGCCAGTGTTTAGAACTCCGCATCTGATAGGTCGGCTATCTCTTCATTGCTTAGTTCTATTTTTGGAGCTTTGATCTGTTCTTTCATTTGGGCCATATTTCTTTGTCTCGGCACACCTCTTATACTGTAAGAGGTAGAGCCTTTATCTACTGCATAAAGGGGCAAGGTAAATTATATGAGTATATATACAGGTAGGTAAGTAGAATTGGGGCTAGGAAAATGAGGGAGTACCTTGTCTTATTGCTTGTATTTTCTCCATGAGATATGAAGAAAGGTCATCAGCTAAAAGTGAAGGGTGAAAGATGTTTGAAGAGTTAGGATAAGTTATGAAGCAGAAGTTTAAAAGAGTGAAAAGGTAAACATATTAGAGTATGAGGAGGATTACAGAACAGTAAGTGTCCTCTTAAGATTTCCCATTCATACTTAGGACTCTTCCTAGACATCTTTCTTCTGAATCTACACTTCCTGTCAGGAAAGGGCTCTGTGGGCCCTAGTTAGGTCATATGCCTATCTCCGGTCCAATCACTCTATCCAGAGGATGAGATATTGGGATAAAGCAGGCCTGAGTCACATGACTACCCCATGACTAGAGGAGCTGGTGTTATGACTGGCAGTCCCGGCAGAACCACCAGAGTGAGGCAGGGGTAGTTCCCCAAAGAAAACAGAGATGTTAGATACACAAAAGGCAACAGATAGACAAAGAGGTTCATTATCCTCCACTGTTCTCACAGGGTTGTCCTGAGGCTCAGTGAGATGACATCTGCGAAACTATATCGTGGAATGCATAGCACATCTACTCTCATTTGACTGGCCAAAGCAAGCCCCATAGCAAAACCTGGTAACAATGGGGTAATGAAGTATCCTCCTTCCACAAGAGATACTGAAAGTCACATGGTGATATTTGGTGATTTATAATACTTTCAGAGAGGAAAAGTAAATCATTGGGAAAAATAATATAATCATCACAAAGGGTTAAAAGCATGTGAACACTCATTATACAATAAAAGGGACTGGAGTCCTATAATTCAGGGCATTAGGAGTAAAAGCAGAAAGCAAAACTCTCCAATGGGGAGATCAAAGAAGGCTTCTTGGAGGAAGTGGCTTTTGGGCTGGGTTTTGAACAACACTAGAATACCTAGATGGGTATAAAAGAAGAAGGCAGGGCATGCTAGCAGAAGAACAATATGAGAAAGCCACAGAAGAGGTAAAGTAGGATGGTTATACAGGGAACAGCAAATGGTTTAGTTAGCCTAAAGCAGAGGAATTGGGAGGAAATAATGGAAAGATAACAAAATGAGCCTGTCTGCCAGCCTCTGAGAGCATGTGGAAGCTCTCATTCCCACCCCATCCAACTGTGTAAACAGTGGTTCCTGGCTTGGGGAAGTGCCTGCAATGTCTAGTAAATTAGTCCAGAGCAGGCCAGCCTTTGGCCAGATTCTTCTACTCTTCTTGATTGGCCAAGTCCAGGTCCTAGTCCAGAGTCAGTTTCTCTCTCAAACCTTTCTTACTCCTGGTTCAGGGCACATGCCTAGGTTGTGGGTATGGTCAGGGTGTGTGAAAGAGGCAACTGATCAATGTTTCTCTCTCACATGGATGTTTCACTCCCTCTCTTTCTCCCTCCCTTCCCCACTCTCTAAAAATAAATAAATACGCAAAAATGTTTTAATTTTTTTTGAAACTATACCCCTAATGTTCTCATAGAGGTTCTTACAGGTTTTCTATTTGTTTCCTCTGCCTGTGTCAGCCAGTCTGATATCCAGAAGATACTCTCAAATTAGGAGGTGTTAAAACCAAAAAAGAGCTCTTCCTAAAGTCAGGAAGATGGAGAAAATGACAAAATGCCACCCTTGCAAAGCAAGCCTCAATCTTCATCCTGCTGGCTTCTCTCTTCCACTGCAGCAGTAAAATGAGTTTTTGTTTTGTTTAGAATAAGATTCCATAATTTATTTTGTTCATAATGTCATAAAAGAAAAAATATATTGGCTCTTAGTCGTGCATGCCAATATGAATTTCATTGTCTTTTTGGATTCAGTTTGTCATTACAGCAAGGATTTGGGTTAAATGTTTATGTAACAGAAACCTTCTGCTTGTTATTATGTGCTACAAATGTCATGATCAGTAAAATTAATCTTATAACTATCTTGTTTGTTTTCTTTGTAGTAATCAAATGCAGTACACAGATAGAAAAAGCTTTGTAAGAGTGGGCCCTGGATTATTGGAATTAATGAGCTGCCCACCTGGTGGGCGTGTGGTCTAATTGATACTGGCCCTTAGCAGGTTTACACTTTTAATCACTAATGCCCTGCAGCCTGCTGGAAGCATGGAAAGAAACAGGCTGACTAGAACACGCCAGAAGACGATAGCAGGGCCATCGGAGGCCTCCGGATGCCCAGGAGGGGCCTGCCTGAAGGCACAAGTGGAGCTCAGGGCCCTGTTGCTGGAGCACAAATCTTGGTGGTCCTGCCTCAAGGGAGGCAGGGAGATGTCTTCAATGTCAAACATCTCAGTAGGTGCCAGGGCACATCTCAGGCCTGAGGAGAGGCTTGCATATCATTCATTCATTCCATCATTCATTAACTAAAAATATGTACTAAGCACCAACTTTGTGCCAGGCATTGGATACAGTAATAAGACAGACAGGCTCTCTGTGCTGTCAGTGTCATCTTGGTCTGAAAGCATACAATAAACATGTTAAGGAGTAAATCAGCAAGATAAGGTTAGTTAGTAATAAGTGCTGTGAAGACAATAAAAGGGTAATGTGATAAGAGTACTTGAGTGAGGGGAAGGCTTATTCTAGATTTCTAGTTAGGGAAGGCTGCTCTGCAAAGCTAATATTTATACTGAGACCAGAGGCATGGGAAAGAGCCAGCTTTGCAAAATGCTGGGGGGAAGGGAAGCATTCTACATTGGGAACAACAAGTGCAGAGGCCCCAAAGCAAGAAAAGGCTGCAATTATTTGAGGAACAGAAAAGAGACACATGTGAGTGAAACATAGTGAGCAAGCAGGAGAATGGGGTTCAGATTGGAGAGTTGAATAAAGGTCAGGTTATACAACATTTTGTAAAGCCAAATATATTAGTCAATACATAATCAGGGAAAATCAGAAATCTCTCTAGGTATTTCCAGTAGAAAGAATTTAATTTGAGGAATTGGTTACAAACATGTTGGAAGAGCTGGAGGAGCAAAAAGAGGGAGATGAAGTTTTCCAAAGATTAGTAATTACAGGAAGTCACTGTCAGCCCTAAGGCTGGAAGAGTAAAATTAGAAACGATGATAACCATAGTTGAACATTGCTGTGCTGCTGAGACTATTAGGAACTGACCTGCCTGCACCAAGAGCAAACCAACAGCAAGCAATGTGGCCTTTACTTAGAGCTGCCATTGAAATGCAGCAAGAACATGGCTTCTCCCTTACTCCTGTCTTCCATTCTCCAGCCAGTGGTTCTAATTGGCAGAACCTAACAGGAAGCCAACTATTAAAGGAGTGTAGAAAATGTGTTGGCAGGCTCCCAGGTCTAGGGGGACAGTGTAGATAGAGGTCAGATGTGGAGCTGACAACACTCTCTATTATCATTCCACAGGCCCTCCTTCATAAACTCTGCATTTGATACGCAGAACAGCAGTACAATACAGCAGCAGTTTGATCACCTCACTTCACATCTTTAAAATGGGAATGACGGTAGTCATGGGTTTGTTATATGGATTCAGAGACATAATGTACGTAAAATACTTGGCATAGTGCCTGGCACTTAGTAAGTTCTCAATACACGTTAGCTGTAGATGAAGCTGCACTGAAAGCACACCAGTATCATATGGGGGACACCTAGCCGTTTTGATAAAGGATAAAGATAGTCTTAGCGCTTAGAAAATTTGGACCAAGGGTCTCAAGGGTCTAGACAAATTGATAACATTAGAGCATCTTCATTTCCAGTAGGGCCCCACAGGACTCACACAAAGACCTTTGCTGTGCTCTGCTTCTATAGCCTCTACTTGGGGAACTTGGGTACCAGACAAGTAATGAGCATTGTCTCAGTTATCTATTGCTGTATAGCAAAATACTTGAAAGCTTAGAGCTTAAAACAATCCTTTTATATGCTCATGACTTTCTGGATCAAGAATTTGGACAGACACAGTGGGTTATGGTTTGTCTCTGTTCTGTAGTGTCTGGGACCTCCACTGGTAAGGTTAGAAGGATGTGGTATATCAATAGCTGGTGGCTGAAATCATCAAAGGTCCATTCACTTACATGTCTGGGCCTGATCTGGGTTGACTTGAAGATGAGGACTGAAGGCCAGAGTACCTGCATTTGGCTTCCTCACCACATGGCAGCCACAAGGTAGTCAGACTTCCTATGTGGTGATTTGGGGCTCTAATCATGAGCTTTTCAGCTAACAAGGTGGAAGCTGCATCTCCTATTATGACCAAGCATCAGAGGTTTCTCAGTATCACTTCTGCTGCAACCTATTGGTCTATAAATCCATAACCCACAAGGAGCCACCAAACTCAAAAGGAAGGGAGCTATACTCCACCTCTTGGCAGGGGAAATAATAAGATTCTAGAAGAGCATATAGAATGGAAGGTATTATTGTGGCCATTTTTGGAAAATAAAATCTGCCACAGTGTTCAGATTAGAACTCACACTTCCCCCAGGCCTGGGACCTTGCCAGCCATCCTAGGAAGATATGGTCTGAGCTCTCTGAGGAAGATGGAGCCAGAGATACATGCTCCTGTCTGTACCCTGCCTCAACATTCAGAGGGAGCCTCCCCAAAATCCCAAAAAGAAGGAAATCTGTGGCCCAAAATAAGTCCTCAGAGAGTATACTGAATAACAGTCAGGGGACATGTATCATATTAGAGTTGGAGAGCAGGAGAGCTAGGGAGTCTCATCGCATCTGACGCTGGATGATGATGAAGATGATGATGATGATGGTGGTGGTGGTGCTGATAAGATATTTACTGAGTGCCTATTTGGGACCATGTACTGAAATGTATCTTTCTCATTAAGCTTCCAAAAGGAAATGTAGATTCAGGGGTGTCCAACCTGCAGCCTATGGGCCACATGCAGCCTAGGATGGCTATGAATGCAGCCCAACGCAAAAACGTAAATTTACTTAAAACATTATAAGATTTTTTGTGTGATTACATATCACAATGTAATCAATGTGTGGCTCAAGACAACTCTTCTTCTTCCAAGTATGGTCCAGAGACACTAAAATGTTGGACTCCCTGATTGTAGGGGCTTAAATGCACACCTCAGAAAAGAAAAAATGATTGAAAAGTAATGAGCTAAGGATCTATCTTAAGTTAAAAAGAAACACAGCACAATAAACTCAAAGAAAGTAGAAGGAAGTAGCAACATGAAAAACAGAAATTGAAGAAAGAGAAATCAAATAAGCAACAGAAGGATCAGCCAAGTCAAAAGCCAGTTCTGTGAAAACTGATAAATCTCTGAAGCTACTGATCAAGAAAAAGTTAAAAAAGACAAAAATAAACAATGTTGGGAATGAAAAGAGAGCTATTGCTATAGATATTGCAGGTATTAGAAAGAAAATATGGATAAGAGGATATTATTAATAAATTTTTATTTATTGATTTTAGAGAGAAAGAAGAAGGGAGAGACATCGATTCGTCGTTTAACTTATTTACGCACTGATTGGTTGCTTCCTGTATGCGCCTTAACTGGGAATCAAACCCACAACCTTGGTGTTAGGATGACACTCTAACCAACTAAGCTACCTGACCAGGGCCTAAATTTTCGTACCAATACAATAGAAGATAAATGTGAAATAGACAAATTGCTTGAAATATATAACTTACTAATACTGACTCCATTTTAAATAGGAAATCTGAAGAATACTATAACCATTAAAGAAATTGAATCAGAAGTAAAAAATCTTTCACAAAGGAAACACAGGCCTCAATGGCAAGTTCTCATTCTTTAAACACCCCATGAGAGCATTAAGATTCCCTTCTTCAAATAAGGGAACCGGAGCTCTGAGAGTTCAAGTGACTGCCGAGGGGCCAAGAGCTGGTAGATGCCAAAGCCAAGATTTGAGCCCTGGATGGCCTGGCTCAAAGCCAGGGAGTTTAGTCATTGACACTCCCCAGCCTCCTCTTCAAATGCTATAACTAGCAGTATATTTGTGAAAGTGGAGAAGAAGATCTTGATGAAAAAAAAATGCATAAACAAATTCCAGATTTGCAGGAATGGAAAGTAAAGCTCTTTCTGCCCTGGGAAGCCCTAGAAACTAAAAATCTGGTTATGTCCACACGGAGAGGGAACCTGGAGACTATCCCCAGGACCCCATTGCACCATCCCTCAAGATCTATTCAAGTGCTACTAACCTTCTCTGTAGCGGTGACATTTGAGTAAGCCTGGCTTTAAGTTCTGCCCTAAGTCCCATAGCTCCCCCAGGCTCCCATACCCTTAGATGCCCATAGGACTGTATCTGGGCCTCTTTTATACGTTGCCTGCTGTATATCATTCTCACTAATGTTTTCCCACCTTGAAAATGCATGGCTCCCTAAGAATACAGATCCTAGTTTGAGAAACGTGCACTGTAAAGTTAAATGGTGGTACTCTCAGTGATCACTGGGGCTTTGGAAATTGTAGGGCAGCTCTTGTAGTCATCTAGACCATCCAGAGCATATTCTTGTTAAAAGGCATTTTTAAGATTTTCACTAAAATAAAAACAAAAGATTTAAATATTCCCATAGCACGCTTTGTGATCCTTGAAGATAGATTTTATCTTTATAAGAGGCATGAAGTGCTCCACAATATAATGTAGGATTTCACTATCACTCAAAATCAAAACTAAATCCACAATAAATTCAATAAAAAGGAAAAAAATAAATTCTGTGGAACACTAGATTATTCCATCTCTTCCCTCCCACTTAGGTCATAAGATTATATTCCCATATTCTTTGCCAAGTAACTTCGAAGTTTCCTCCTGTGTACAGAGTGTATTTCTCTATCTTTTGACTCTGGGCTTGGCCATATGATTTGTTCTAACCAGTGGTATTTCAGCAGATTTGACATAAGCAG